AATTAATGTGGGGGGTCTTTATTAACGCACCAGAAGCCAAATCAACCATTTTTAGAATTTTTGTCTGTCTGTCTGTCTGTCTGTCTGTCTGTATGTTTGTTCGCGCATCACTCGAAAACGAATGCATGGATTTGAATGCAGTTTTCACCGATGTATTGCTAGAGGTCTAACTTAAAATTTAGGAAGAAAAAAAATTAGAGAGTTGCCACCTGTTTGAAAATTGGAGTTTAAGTAAATTGATAAAAAAAAATAAATATTGCAATATGGGCGTCAAAAGAAAGAGACTGAAGAAGGCTTACAGCCAGAAATATTTTTTTAGAGTTGCCACCTGTTTGAAAATTTACATTTAATTTAATTTATAAGATAAATTGAATATTGCAATATGGGTATCAAACTGAAAGGGTTTAGGAAATTATATTGCCGAAAATATTATTAGGGAGGGCTGCCACCTGTTTGAAAAATTTTATTGTATTAAATTGATAAAAAAATGAAATCTGTATCTACATCTATACATATAATAAAATTGTAACAGGTCGATGTCTGTATGTTATAGATATTAAAGAAAAATTTTATTATGGTGGGTTTTTGTTTAAGCTACAGAAGCCAAATCAACCATTTTTAGAATTTTTGTCTGTCTGTCTGTCTGTCTGTCTGTCTGTCTGTATGTTTGTTCGCGCATCACTCGAAAACGAATGCATGGATTTGAATGCAGTTTTCACCGATGTATTGCGAGAGGTCTAACTTAAAACATAGGAAAAAAATAGATAGTTGCCATCTGTTTGAAAATTGGAGTTTAAGTAAATTGATAAGAAAAAATGAATATTTCAATATGGGGCTCAAAAGAAAGAGGCTGAAGAAGGCTTACAGCCAAAAATATCTTTTTAGAGTTGCCACCTGTTTGAAAATTTACATTTAATTTAATTTATAAGATAAATTGAATATTGCAATATGGCTATCAAACTGAAAGGGTTTAGGAAATTATATTGCCGAAAATATTTTTAGGGAGAACTGCCACCTGTTCGTAAAGTTTTATTGTATTAAATTGATAAAATAAATGAAATCTATATCTACATCTATACATATAATAAAATTGTAACAGGTCGATGTCTGGATGTTATAGATATTAAAGAAAAATTAATATGGTGGGTTTTTGTTTAAGCCACAGAAGCCAAATAAACAATTTTTAGAATTTTTGAATCTCTGTCTATCTGTATATTTGTACGCGCATCAGTCGAAAACATGGAATTGAATGCAGATTTCACCGATGTATCGCTAGAGATCTAGATTCCAATATAGACGAAAAATTAGAGAGTTGCCACCTGTGTTTAAAATTTCAGTTTAGGTCAATTGATACGGTAAAGCGAATACTGCAATATGGCTGTCAAAAGAAAGAAATTTACAAAGGCTTACAGCTGAAAATATTTTTGTGGAAGGTTGCCACCTATTTGAAAACTTTAATTTAGTTTAATTGATAGCATAAATTAATACTGCAATATTGGCATCAAACTAAAGACAATAGGAAATTTGAATGCTGAAAATATTTTTAGGGGATTTGCCATCTGATTGACAAATTGTATTCATTAAAATTTGTAAAAGAAATGAAATATTGCAATACGAATATTAAACTAAAGAGGATTAGGAAGCTTACTTTTGAAAATATTCTTGAAGCGGGTTGCCACTTATTTGAAAACTTTAATTCAGTTAAATTTATAATATAAACTAAGTGTTGCCATATGGGTATCAAAAGAGAGTACTTGAGAATAATAAAATTGCAACAGGCCGATATCTGTACATAATAGATGTTAAAGAAAAATTAGTAGGGGGCTTATTAGATCAACAGAAGCCAAATATAAATTTTCGGTATGTTTGTCTGTATGTTTGTAAGAGCATCACGCAAAAGCTAATGTATGGAATTAAATGCAGTTTTCACCGATGTACATAATGCTAGAGCCCTAGTTGAAAATATATCCCTTTTTTTTTTTGTTTTAGTTTATCGTCGATCATTATTCCTAGCTATTTGAACGTATTAACTTTTTCCAGGGCGTCGTTGTTATATTTAGAGTTAGCAACGGACCGTTCTCAAAATTTCGCCTTGATATAACCACAAACAAAATTTTTTTTTATTTCTGTGTGGAAGGTTTTTCGATAAAAAATTAAAACTTTTCATTGTTGCTGCCAAAAAATTAAGAAATCTGAGACGTCACGCTTTACAATTTCATACAGTTCTCTTTACAATGTATTTCACTAAACTACTAAACGACTTGGTTCATATTTGGCAATACCTTGAAAATAAATATTCTGACCAAAAATTTACTCGATATGTAGCTCGGGATATTCCCAAAATTCTTATACAGACTAAAACGTAATAAACGAATATAACTCTAAAACCAATTACTCTGGGGAACTGAAACTTAGCACTGATGCATATATTGCAAATGCATTGGGAAAGGGGGCGTGGCTCTTTCCTTCGATACAACTACTGAACTTCTCATATAGCTTATCTCTGGAACTGCTTACGCTAACGTCCTGAAATTCTACACAGCTACATATGTTATAAATACCGTAGTTTTGGCGAAAAGTGGAAATTATTGGAAAGCCTGGATCGATATACATTTAGGTAAACGCACAAGTATCACTCCATTGGGAAACATTTCTCCTAGATTTCTAAATCCCATTGAACTATTGTAACTTTGAAGAATTTTGAAGAATGTTTTTAAATTTTTCACAAAGAACGGAGCTTTGCTTTTACGAGTTTCACTATAAACTGTCCTATCTACATACCTATTTGCATAAAATGATAGCCGTTTTCGTTGTTCGGAATAAACTCAAAAACCCCTGAATAGAGGTCCGTCGGATTGTCGGAGGTTATCTTACATAAATATATGGTCCAATTACATGCTACTAGAAAACTCGCTAGGTGGTGCTGGAGTAGAGTTATTTATAAAAATCGTATTTATTAACCGATTTCGTTCAAATTTTAAATGTGAGCTATGTACCTGTTTGATGGAAAATTCTTTTGATAAAAATTTACCCGATTAGTGCCGCTGGAGTTAAGATTGAAATTCATAACATGTATTCATTTTATGGTAACCAATGGTTTTGCAGAAAATGAACCCAATAGATGGCGCTGCAGGCGGAATGTATAGAAACCCCGTGTGGTTCGTCTGCTTTGGCCCTATGTTTAAGTTATGCGAATTTAGTTTTCAGATGTCTAAATGTAGGATGGGGTTAAGTTTTTCTGACGCCCTAATGCATGATCATGCGGTCTTGCATCTACCCAGAAATCAGTTCATAAATTTTACCACGAATTGTAAAAGTGGCGAATTAACAAGGAAAGATCACCGTAGGTATATCAATTGTTTCATTTAAAAGATACTTAAGAGATCGCTCGACTCATTTAGCAATGTACCGGAAAACTTTTCATTCTGTGGACCGCGAAGATTCTTGGCCCTCCTATAACAGAAAACGCACTTCTGTGCTCTTGAGTTTCCCTATAAGAACTGTTATTGGCATACGCATCGCACCAATGTTGTAGTGGCAAGATCATACAAAAAGATTACGCATGCTTGACAGAGATCTCACAGGTGGAAATAAGACCATCGGTAAAGCTCATGACACCGAAAGGGATTGGTATTCCATATGGTATCACAGCGTTACTATTATTGGCCTTAGTGGTTTCAACTTAAATCAAAAATTTTGACTTTACAGACTAATTTTGTTTTTCAACGCTCTTTTGCATTGGCCAACGCAAAAGCTCTTATTAGGCGCCGCGAAGTAAGCGGGCATTGGCTAGCATAAAATAAGTGTGTAAAGTATTAAGTACAGTGTTATGTGCATTTATATATATGAAAGTATGTGGCACTTTTTGTTAAGGAAATCAAGTGGAACGACTTAAGAAATTTTAACAACAAATAACTTATAAACAATGATATTGTTTATATTTTTTAGTTATGCGTGTTTTAGAGGATACCTCCCTTAACATCCTGACCAAGTGTCATTTGTTAATTCCACCTGGTTTTCTTAAAACACAAGGTGCGGCTGACTACTAAAGCCCACCCGTATTTTCATCAAGAATAGTTTGTTTTTTTTTACAAAAATTGAATAAATCACTTGAAAGCAAAAAATGTCCCCTTGATAATACTGTTTAAACTCAACGAGATATCTTGTTTAAAACCTGAAATATTTTTCATTGAAGTTTATGAGTTTTGCGACATTACTTCTTTGCACAAATGCGTGAAAGATACAACACGAAAAGAAACAGATTTGTGGTATACGTTTAGGCGTCTTTATTAACATAATGAATGTATGTGTATATCTGCGCGTGCATAGAGAAAACTTATTTCGTTTAAGAATTTAACGCAGAAATGAATGCATGAGAAATTCTCTAGGAATTTCATTTGATATTATACATATGTGTGAAGTACATGATATATATATGATATATGATAAACATGATATATAATATACACAAGCGGGCCCATGCGCAGTCTGCGCAGACTGAAATACACAGTAAACTCATCCCTCTTTGTAGCCACAGATAGAAGCAGACTGTTCTAATAGTTCGCGGAAATAATTATTCTTATAAACCCCTTATTTTTATTATACATATATTACAAAGCATTAATGACATTTATAGTACATCAGAACTTATACTTATTAGGTACATACATAAAAACATATTACAAACTGACTGATATATGAGTGTCATGAGTTGAGGGAAACATGGTGTCACTTACTTTGTATACAAAATTGGAGGAGAAAATATATTCAGAATTAACTTTTTGATTAAATGTTTCTTTAACAAAAACAATAATATCTGAGAATCGTCTTACTCTAGTTTAAAACAAAATGGTCCTCTACCCGGAATATTGGCAAAGTTCACCTGAACTGAAGCAAACGCAAGACCGTTGTTAAATTTACGGATATTCTCCAAATAGTTTTTTGTGATGTCATCATTGCGATTTCAGCTCATCGCGGACAGAAATTGGTGGTAAACTCACCTTGCTCTTGTGGCAACAGATGGATGCAGTATTATCAGCTGCCTCGCCTGGATAAAGTTTAGCTGAGCAAAACTCACATATCTTCTCCATGCGTTCAGCACAATTTGATTCTGTCTCATCGTCTTTAAGGAAGAGACGTGCACCGCAATACGTCTTTGGTAGCTTTTCTTGCCGCCTCCTTGCACTGACATCTTCACTTAATCGCTGAAAATATGATGGCACCAAAACACTTCTAAATTGGGGAGTGAATTTTGGCCTTTGTTCGGCCCGTTGTTTCTGCCTTTGGTTCCGCATACATTCCCTAGCTCGTTGCAAATAGATCTGCCGTTGTTGCATATCTTGGTTTATTGGAAGGCAATTAGGTTTTTTGCGATCAGCTGACACTCCCATACACTTTTTTCGAGCCATTGTTAGTCGTAATTATATTAAATTGAATCCTATAGTAGTAAAAATGGTCATTACGATCAACAAAATAACTTTTTGAAATTATAAGGTTACCGATTTTATGTAGACTTTATGAGATAAACGCAATATGTCAGTATATCTAATGGAAAAATTTTTCTGTAAATGAAATGTTGAATTGAAAATCACCAAAAATACCATAATACCAAACACCAATATGCTTACCATACCAATAATACTCGTAATAAATGTATTGCTTAGCAGTTCTCGTAAAAGGAATATCCGAATATTTTCCGACAGAGTAGCCAGAAACAATATGGGCTGCAAATAAGATTGTGATGCGAAATTTACAAAAAATACCATAATACCAATGTTCATATGAATGTACTTACCGTATCTACAATTTACGCGATAAATATATTTCTCAGCTTTTATCATAACAGGAAAAAGTGAATATTTTTAACTGACGGCGCAGCCTGCTACAATTCTTATTATTGAAATTCCTATTATTTGGATTACAGTTATGTTTAAGCTTGAAGTCACAATAGCACAGTATTTTGAAGTTAAGTGTTATTATGGTGATGCCACAGATGGCGCGCTTTAACGGCTTCGTTCATATACGAATTGTGTGGTTTACGGTGCAGAATTGAGTAAGAATTCGTGAATGATTTCATGAAATCATGAAAACTAAAAAAAAGCTGCATAAATATTTAGCAGCTATCAATACTGATCAAAAGTTTTGAAAAAAATGTTATTTGTAACTTTTTATTTTTATAGTTAAATATTTAAGTGTTTTCTGATATTATTTTAGACATAATAATCTATTGGGG